GCGCACAGGCGGACGGCTCTCCCACGCCTCGCCCCGCCCCCGGACGCGGGACCCGGCCGCCCACCTGGCCCACCCGGCGGCCGCGGCTTGAGGTTGCTTTGTTTATCCCCCCGCCAAGCCCTCCATGAACTGGTGGCGTTTTAACCTTCTAAAAAAATAATTTCTATTTTTAACTTTTCTGTTAAAAGCAACGCATGCCTGTAAAACTTACAACAGCCTCAGCCAGGGTAATGACTGCAATTAATTGGAAAATATAAAATATATCACTGAATTTATAATGGTACCCAACAATTGGCCATCGTTGCGGATGGCAAGGGCGCCAGCTCATTCATTCATTCTGAAATGTTTAAACAAAGGGAAAGACTCAGCCATCCCTCCTGCTCTTTCTGAACGAACTGTATTTCAAGAGTCCCAAAACAGTTGAGGAGGGAAAGTTCCGTTTAGATAAGTCCAGCTAGTAACTGAGGAGGGAGTGAGAGAAATTAGAACATCATTTTGCATCCCTTAATGAAACGATGGATCCAGGTGACGATCATCAAGAGACTAAAACCAAGAGGTGACAGTTGGTGGGGAACTTGAAAATGGAGGGGCCAAGGTGTCCCGACCTGGACCCGCCAATCTTAGTAGCAGGAAGTACCAGCGCCACCTATGATGGATTGGAGCCATAACCCGCTTTGGCCTCTACCTCTAACCAACGGTTTAGCGGAAATATGGGGGATGGAGGCAAAAATTAGAAGTGGCAGAAGCAATCAGCCAAATCCAGAATGTGAAGCATTCTACAGGACAAAAAACCCGGTTTCTTCAATAAGTAAATGGCATAAAAAGTGAAGGGTGGGGAGGATTATTGGTTTTAAAAGACTGAAAAGCCATAATAACCAAATGCAAAGCAAGGGGCTTGTTTGCATCCTAAATCAAACAAACCATGTCTAACCACACATTTTTTGAGACAACCAGGAAAATGAAACAATTTTTGCCAATCAAAAAAGTGAAAAAAGGTATCTCCTTTTTGTTTTTTTTATAATTTTATTTATTTATTTTTTCCCCCAAAGCCCCAGTAGATAGTTGTATATCATAGCTGCACATCCTTCTAGTTGCTATATGTGGGACACGGCCTCAGCATGGCTGGAGAAGCGGTGTTCGGATCCCGGGATCCGAACTCGGGCTGCCAGCAGCGGAGTGTGCTTGCACTCAACCGCTAAGCCATGGGGCCCGCCCTAGGTATCTCTTTTTTGAACTTCACTTTTTTCCGGATTCCTGGTGAGGTTTTCATGTATTTATTGGCCCTGTGATCTACTCTTCTGTGAATTGCCTGTTCATACCCTCTGACCATTTTTTCTTGTATCTTCTTTTTTAAAGTAAACTTTTTAAATCAGAGTATAGCATATGAACAGAAAAATACACAAATCATAAGGTGCCTCTCTCTGAATTTTCACAAATTGAGCACTCAGGGTAACCAGCGCCCAGATGGAGAAATAGAATGTTAGCAGCTTCCCAGAAAGGCTCCCTTTGCCCTGTTCACTATGTCCCTCTCCATAATTGAGGGGATTCATTTCGCCTGATTTTGAGCTTTATGTAAATGGGATCACACCATATGATCTTTTGTGATTGGCTTCCTTTGTTCAATGTTATATTTATGAGATCCACGTTGTTGTGTATATGTCTTTTTCTTCTTGCTTTATACTATGTTCTTTACATCTTCTGGAAATAATCCTTAGATGTATAATATTTTAGAAGAAAATATAGGAGAATATACTATTACCTACTTAACTTAAAAATGGACACACTTTTAAAAAAATTATTTTATTGAGGTCATATGGCTTGTGTAAATTTCAGGTGTACATTATTATATTTCAGCTTCTGTATAGACTGCATTGTGTTCACCACCAATAGTCTAGTTTCTATCCATCACCATATATGTGCCCCTTTACCCCTTTCGCCCTCCCCCGGATACACTTTTTATTTACCTAAATAAAAATATTTTTAAAAGAAACTGCAGATCACTGTCATCCTAAGCAATAAAATCCATGAAAATACAGGTTTATTATGCTAATTATACCCTTTTCCCCCAAATCCTTTTAAATTAATATATAACTTTAAAAACATGCTCTTATGTATACTATCTAAATCCTCTCAGGCACCACCTGTGTGTTTGTGGGGTTTGTTTTTGGATGTTTTTCGGGAAAGGAGGGGAACTTATCCAAATTCAGTCACACTCTTCATTCATTTATTCATTCTTATATTCAACAACTATTTATTGCTTACCTACTCTGCAGCCAGATCTTGTTGTAGATTCTTCAAATGTTTTTCCTGGGGCAGTAACTTTGTCATTTAAAAAAAATAACTTTATCCTTTCTAAAATTCTAAAATAACTACTAGTGCCTTCACTTTTTTTGGTAATATAATTTAAGTGTTTGCCCTTAATGAGTTAATGTTTTTAACAGAAAAAAGGCGACATAATATAACCGTTCTATTTGCAAGATAATTACAGGATTCGGGGCCGGCCCCGTGGCTTAGCGGTTAAGTGCACACCCTCCGCTGCTGGTAGCCCAGGTTCGGATCCCCGGCGCGCACCTGACGCACCACTTCTCCGGCCATGCTGAGGCAGCGTCCCACATACAGCAACTAGAAGGATGTGCAGCTATGACATACAACTATCTACTGGGGCCTTGGGGGGAAAATAAATAAATAAAATCTTTAAAAAAAAAAAAGATAATTACAGGATTCAGAAAATACATTATTTCCAAGTGCGCTACAGTGTGATGTGGTAATGAGGGTTTAAAATTGTCTAATATATGCCTTCCTCTTTTAGTTCTTCTATCTGTCCGCGTAATGGAAATATTTAGTGCCTTTTTATGATGCAACTAATGTATGTTTCTTGTAGGAATATCAGAAAATGCAAATAAGCAGAAAAGGGAGGGAAGAAGTTTGTATTAGGGGAAGGGTTATATTTTAAAAGGTGACAAGACACTCTCACTCCCAAGTAGCCAAATTAGCGTTAGTAAATAATTCGGTTTTAGAGACTGACTACACCGCAAGGCCTCTGCTGGGACCTCAGGCCTCGCTCCCGCCTCTAAATGGGCCCCGCCCCTGCGCCGGCTGGCTCCGCCCCGTCCCCGGACGGGCCCCGCCTCCAGCCCCGGACCTCGCGGGCCAAGTTAGTCCCAGCTCTCGCGAGAGCGCATTCCGGAAGTCTCCCGGCCTGGGCGAGTGGTTTGGGAGCCCACGTGGGCTGGGCTTTGGGGTGTACTGCCGGTGACCCCCGCCAGAGCCGAAAGTGAGCAGGACGCCATGGGGAAGCTGCGCCGGCGGTACAACGTCAGGGGGCGCCAGCAGGTGGCCCCCGGCCCCTCGAAGGGCGCCCCCGAGCCGCCCCCCGTGCGGCTGGAGCTAGAGGGTAAGGCGTCCCGGGACAGGGGCTGGGTTTCGGGGAGGGGCCACCCAGGGCCTCGCGGCCAGGACTGGGCAGTGGGGGCCGAAGGGCTTCCGGCCTGTGCCCTGCCTCCGCGACTCCGGGCGGGGGGCCAGAGAGAACCCCCTCTCAGATGATCCGAAGGAGGGGGCACAGTGACAGTCTAGCTTTAACAGCGAGTTTGGGCCAATACCCGGGCTTTCTCTCTTAGGGTCCAGCCCTAGTATAGCAGCGTGGGGAATTTGGGCGAGAAAATGAGGTAATTCCGTGCTTTCCGATGGCTTCGGTTATAATCTCTTTGACCCCTAAATTTGGATTTTTCAGCGTAGACCTGTCTCCTCAACTCCAGGCTGCTTGACATTTCTGCTCAGACTCCTTTTTAGTAGGAGCGCCTATTCTAGGAGACATAACAGAAGAGGAGATTTTATAATTTTTTTATTTATTTTTATTTATTTTTCCCCCAAAGCCCCAGTAGATAGTTGTATGTCATAGCTGCACATCCCTCTAGTTGCTGTATGTGGGACGTGGCCTCAGCATGGCCGGACAAGTGGTGCATTGGTGCCCACCCGGGATCCGAACCCGGGCCGCCCGCAGCGGAGCACGCACACTTAACTGCTAAGCCACGGGGCCGGCCCAGAAGAGGAGATTTTAAAAAATCGATGCCGTACTGAGCTTAGATGCTCCTGGGAAGAGACGGGCAGAGATCAATATGTAAAATATATAGAATGTTGTGTGGATGTATGACTGAAGAGAGGAAGCAGAAGAGGTGTTTGGGGGGCTGCAGTGTTCCATAGAGTGGGCAGGGAAGGCCTCACTGAGAAAGCACTGCTTTCAAGACCAGAAGGTGGCCAGCACGGCTGAGGGGAGATGAAATTAAACATGGAATCAGGATCGTGTAGGGCCTTGTGGGTCATGGTGAGGAGGGTGGCGTACAGAGCAGACGAGGGGCACTGCGTGGGCTTATGTTTTAACAGCATCTCTGAAAAGCAGTAGAGGGCAAAGCAGAGCCGGGCTGCCCGGTTAGGAGGCTGTTGAGTGCGCTCGCCCGGGTGGGAGTCGATGCCTGGACCAGGGAGGCAGCCGCAGAGGAAGTGAGAGGTCGTTGGATTCGGGATGTACTTTGAAGGTGGAGCTGACAGGATTTGCTGGCTGGCGGTGCACAAGAACAAGGGAGATGTCAAGAATGACTCCAGCCTCTGGAGAAGGTGGGGTGGGCGGCTTGCGGGGAGACCAAGAGCTCGGCTTTGGATACGAGTGCTTGGGGGCCTGTTAGATATCCAGGGAGAGAGGGTAGCCAGGCAGCTGCTGACGCGGATGCTCAAGAGAGGCAAGTCCCGGTGGAGATAGCAATTTGGGATCATCTGTGAATAGACGATGTTTATTTACAGTCCACAGGCTGGATGAGCTCGCTGAGTCCAGCCCTGGAGGAGAGGGGAGTGAGGAGGAGGTGGGGCAGCCTGGGAGGTGGGAGGAGAGCACTGGGAGAGTGTGGTTGTCCGGGGACCCTGGAGAAGGACCCACTGTCTGCGTCAGAAGTTGCTGTGGGGTCGGGGAGGGAGAGAAGGATGTGGGATGTAACCCTGGGGAGGCCATTGATGACCTTGATGGGGCCAGTTTCGGAGGAGAGTTGGGGTGAAGTGATTGAGTGGGTTCAAAGTTGTCTTCCAGGCCCCCAAAACTGAGCACATTTCAAGCTGCTTGTATGTGCTCCCTGAAGTCCGTGTTGATTTAGGAAAGAATGGGCCTAGATTCCGGAGATGGAGGAAGGGAGAGCCAGAGCCCCTGGAGAAGCCTGTTTTCCTTGACCAAGTAATTGGCCCCTGTTCCACACCTTACTGGACCTGGAGGGCAGTGAGGTTGTAGGAAAGAATGTCGGGGTGGGAATCCAGAGTCTGAATTCCCTCCCCAGAAGTTGCATGGATAGCCTGGGAGTTGAAGCAAATTGTTTAACATCTCTTTGCCTCAGTTTTCTCTTCTGTAAATTGGGTCCAGTAGTAATAGCCATCTCACCTGCTATCAGACTTTTGGAGGTGGTATTTTGGGAGAATATGTTTATGACTGAAATGAGGATGCTTTGAAAAGTGCAGATGTGACGTGTCCTGTGATGGGCGTCATCGTTATGATAGCAGTGACAGCTCAAGACATGAGACCGCACCTCTAAGAGGACAGAAGACCCCAGGCTGACAGTTGGAACTTGATGTTCAGAGCAGAGGGGCCGAGGTCTCTTAGACCCAAAGATTGGGGAAAGTGGTTTCTCACCTCAGAACAAGGCATCTCCATGGATCCCCGCCTTTCTCAGGGGCCAGAGGGATCTTATAAGAACGTAAATCAGATTGCCTTCTTCAAAGAGCTTTCCCCGACCACTGATCCAATATCGCTACCCACTTATTTTTGTCTTTACCACATCCCCTATTGTTTTTTCCTATGGCACAGTTCTCAAGTTTTTTGGACTAAGGACCCTTTTACATTCTTAAAATTTGAGGGCCCCAAAGTGCTTTTGTTTTAGTGTGGGTTATATCTATCAATATTTACCATATTAGAAATTAAAACTAAGAAATTTCGAAACACAAGCACATACAAGCACATGCTCCTTTACCCATCAGAGCAGTAACATGTCACATGATTTGGAGCCCCTGGAAAATGCCACTATACGCTCCTTTTTTTTTTTTTTCTGCTTTTAATTCTTTTTATTTGAGAATTGCAAAACAAACAGCTTGCGTTGCTTAAAACTGTCTCATTCTTCTTCATGAGGGTCACATAACCTCTCCTACACTTTGTAACAAGTAAAGATGCACAAAGCCTGAGTAGTTAATAAAAGAGTCAGATACTGCCCATAGGGAACACTGGAGAGGGAATTCTAGTTTTAGCTGTCAGCAGAAATAGGTGCTCCCCAGGGCCTCTCCTCCCCAAGCTGCTGCATTGGGTTGAGTTGAAGAGGGATATGATAGCTGAATTGTGGTCTAGATCGTATGCTTTTAAACTATGACATTTAAACAATAGGGGCTGGAGGCCAGCCCGGAGGCGTCGTGGTTAAGTGTGTGCGCTCTGCTTCGGCAGCCTGGGGTTTGCGGGTTCGGATCCCGGGCGCAGACCTACACACCGCTCATCAAGCCATGCTGTGGCAGTGTCCAACATACAAAATAGAGGGAGATGGGCACAGATGTTAGCTCAGGGACAATCTTCCTCAGCAAAAAGAGGAAGATTGGCATTGGATGTTAGCTCATGGCCAGTCTTCCTCATCAGAAAAAAAAAAAAATAGATGTGACACAAACTCAGTCCTTAGTCCACTGCATACTCTTTAGAACGTCATAGTATTATTACAGAAATAGTTTTGAGCTCACGGACCCACAGAGAGCAGGATCATACTCTGAGGGGAGCACTACCCTGCTTACTGGTACCCCCAAATACACACTGGGATGGAGGTGCCCCGGCCCACAGCAAAGCCTGACCCGTGGCAGGTGCTGGGTAGACGAATTGAGTGAATGTGTGACGGGCCTGCACCCCGTTCCTGTGTGGTGCTCAGGCGGCTCACACGTGGGGCAGGGGAGCCCGGGAGAGGCGGAACGGAGTCCCCCAGAGGAAAATGTCTTTAAGGCAGAGTCTCGGGGGTCGAAAGCGTCTGCACTCTCTGGCCTCCGAGGCTGGGGCTCAGGCAAGTGTGTCTTTTCAGATAAGGGCACGTGGAAAGGAGTTGATGCAAGCAACGCGCTCGTTCTGCCTGGGAAGAAGAAAAAGAAGACCAAGGCCCCTCCCCTGTCAAAGAAGGAGAAGAAGCCTCTGACCAAGAAAGAGCGGAAAACACTGCAGAAAATCTTAGAACAGAAGGAGAAAAAGGGCCAGGTACACCGGTCTGTCGGGTCTGCACACAGCTCTCCAGACGGGGAGAGATGGGAGGCCTGTGTCCCCTGACTTGACCTCTGCAGCAGGACTGTCCAGTAGAACTTTCTGGAACGAGGGACGTGTTCTGTGTCTGCACAGTGCGGCGCGGTAATCACTAGGCACGTGTGGCCATTGAGCACTTGGAACATGGCTAGTGTGGCCGAGGGATTCAACTTTTAATGTGACTTAATTTTAATTAATTTAAATTCAAATAGCCACACGTGGCTAGCGGCCCCCCATCAGACACACAGCTCCAGAACCTTCTAGTCCTCTGGGGGCCATGCTGCCTGGGTCTCTCAGTCTGGGATGGCCCAGGTTTGTTGAGGCCAGATGTTTGTTAACTGGGGAGTCAGTTAATCAACGTGCTCATCTTTTTTTTTTTTTCCTTCTAATCATTTTGTGTTATTTATTTTTTAACTTTATTCTGGAGAATTTTAACCTTTTCTCCCTTGATATTTTAAGGGAAAAATTTTGTAATGGGAAATTCAGAGATACAAAAGTAGAGAAGATATGTGATGAACTCCTGTGTCCCTGACACCAGCTCCAACAGTTATCGGCCATGGTTGACCTCGGGTCGTCTCTACTGCTGGTCATTCTCCCTCCTCCTGGGTTAAGGCCCAGGCCACATAAATCTGTGTTCGTTTCTTGTGGCTCCCACAACAGATGACCACAGTTATGGAGTCCAGCGGGCTGAAATCCAGGCGTGGGCAGGGCCGTGCCCCCTCTGCAGGCTCCAGGGGAGGGTCCTTCCCGCCGCCTCCCGCTGCTGGCAGCTCCAAGCGTTCCTTGGCTGGTGGCCCCATCCCTCCATCTCGGCCTCTGTCTTCACATGGCCTTATCCCCTGTGTGTGTCTCATAAGGATGCTCGTCTTTGGAGTTAGGACCACGTGGATAATCCAGGCTCTCATCTCCAGGCCCTTAACTTCGTTATGTTGGCAAAGACCCTTTTTCCAAATAAGATCACTTTCTGGGACGTGGACATATCTTTTGGGGGCCACCATTCAACCCACTATATGTAACATTTTATCCATAAATATTTCAATTTGCATCTCTAAAGTAAGGATCAATTTAGATAACCACAATACCAGTAGCACACCTAAATTCTTAAAAAATATCATCAACTATCCAGTTAATGGTCGAATCTCTAATTCTTTCATAGATACTGCCCCACCCCGTCTCTTTTTTTTCTCCTTATAATTTTTTTGTTGAAGAAGTTGGGTTGTTTGTCTCATAGAGTTTCCCACGGTCTGGGTTTTTTAAATTTTGTCTCTGTGGTATAGTTCAACACACTCCTCGCCCTCTGTATTTCCTGTAAACTGGTATTTGGATCTGTGGCAGCGATTCTCATCCGGGACAGATGTGCCCCCAGGGAACATTTGGCCACGTCTGGAGACATTTAGGGTTGTGATGACTTGGGGGTGCTGCTGGCATCTCGTGGGTAGAGGCCTGGGATGTTGCTAAATGGCCTATACCCCACAGAAAAAACAAAAATTACCCAGCCCAAAATGCCAGTAACGTGGAGACAGAAACCCTGACCAGAGGCTTCGTGAGATTCACGTGTGACTCTGTCAGGGTTGCCATGCGGTGCTGTGTCCCCCCGGTGCCACAGTGGGCCCCCTGGCAGCACCAACGCTCAGTCCTGAGCCCTCACCGCACAGAGACGCGCTCTCCCAGGAGTCTGTTCTTTTAAATCCTGTGCAGCACTTTTTCCACTGTTCTGTGCCTTGTTATTTCTTTTATTGGTTGTAAAATACAAACAGAAGCACGTATAAAATGGTAATTTTAAGAATAATAAAACAAAAACTCATGAAATGGTCACCCGGGGAAAGCAACCACCTGGGCCGCCCTCCCCCACCACGTTGCTTTATTCAGGGCAGCGTGGGGACCAGCGCCTGTCACACACAGCAGCTCCCCTGTAGTCACAGCTGGCAGGGCTGCTTTATACAGACGGGCCTGCTTTATTCATTCGGTCACCTGTTGATGGGCATCTGGGTAGTCAATGGCCTTCTCTTGAGACACACAGCGATGCAAAGAGAGCCTTGTTTATCCAACCCCAGACTCCGTTGGGGGGTGAAAAGCCGCCCCAGGCTCACACGTCTGTTTGTGTGAGAACACCAGGCAGCCGTGCAATTGCACTGTGACTTTTGGTTTAAAAAGACTGCAGGTGTTATTAGCGATGCTGAACTTTTATGTGGAGTCTCACTTCCCTTCTGAAGGGAGGGTCGTGGTGCCAGGTGTCTCACACACTCGTCTCCTTCCCCAGCGAGCAGAGATGCTGCAGAAACTGAGTGAGGTCCAGGTGTCGGAAGCCGAGATGAAGCTCTTCTACACCACGTCCAAGCTGGGCACGGGGGCCCGCATGTACCACACCAAAGAGTGAGTAGGCCAGCCCCTTGCTGAAGCCCGCTCCTCCTGCCAGGGCCCCTGGGGGAGGGCTCACAGGTTACGGAGTCCCACCTGCACTCTCTGCTGTCTTACACTCGGCCTGCTCTGTTCTCTTACGTGGGAACTGGCCTGGTCCCTATAAGTAGTGTTGAGCATTTGATGACTGCTTATTGGGTATCGGCTGTGTCCCAGGCTCTCCTCCAGGCCCTGGGGACAGGGCAGTGCACAACCGTGAAGTAATAAGCTTCCCTTAAGAAGCTTACCTTCTAATGGTGGGGAGGTGGGCAATAATCAAACAGATATATATCTGGTGCGGGTAAGCGCTAAGCAGACAGTGAAGCAGGGAAAAGGGCATGGAGGGGGACGGGAGAGGTATTTCAGGATGCGTGGTCAGGGACAGTCTTCCTGAGAGGAGACATTTGAGTGAAGTGAGGGGGAAGTTATCTGCAGGGAGCGGGAACAGCACGTGCAAAGGCCCTGAGGTGGGAAGGGGCCTGGCCTTTGAGTCCTGGCCTCTGGTGAGTGTTCAGCAACCCAGAGCTGCCTCAGGTCTGCCTTCTGGCTCTCCCGGCAGGAAGTCTGACGAGGTCGCAGCCCAGGGTCAGGAGAAGATCAGCAGCCTCAGCGGGGCCCACCGGAAGCGCCGCCGCCAGGAGGCAGAGGAGGAGGAGTCTGAGTCCTCCATGGAGTCTGAGCCCGAGGTGGCCCCGGGCACTGAGTGGGTGGAGGCTGGTGCAGGGACAATGGCATCAGCTGCCAGCTCCACTGGGGGCCGGGGCGAGAGCCCAGCGCCCAGTAGTCAGCCGTCTCCAGCCAGGACTCCTGCGGCTCCTCCGGCAGCAGCCCCCGCCCTGGCCAGGCCCCCCTCGAAGCCTGCCGTCTTCATCCCCGTGAACCGCTCCCCCGAAATGCAGGTTCGCCGCCCTGGTGTTTGTGATAAGAACTTAGGTTAGCGCCTGAGGGGCTGAGGGTGCAGAGAGGACGTCCCCGTGATTAGGGCAGGTGGCATCGCCTCCATGCCTCAGTGTCCTCGTCTGCAAAGGGGAATGACCGTGTCTGCCTGGGAGGGTCGTGGCAGAGACTGACGAGGGGACGCGTGAGGATGTGCTTACAGGAGTCAGGCTATTGAGGTGGGTGTCACCATCACCATCGCCGTCTGCTCACCGTCACCTTCAGCCTCTGACCGCGGGCCCAGGTGCCCGCTGATCCAGACAAGAGCAGGGCTGTGAGTCAGTGGCCTGAGGTCGAGTGCTGCTTCCACCACTTTCTAGCTCATTCCTGGGCCTCATTTTCGTCACCTGTGGAATGGGGCTGCTCCGTCTACCTCAGATGTCCAGCCCTCTGTGCCTCCCTCGGTTTCCTTGTCTGGTAAAAGATGGTCTCGCTGGGTTGTCATGACAGCGAGAAGAGGCAGGGATGAGGAGGCGAGGCCCACGGAAGGCTCGGGACACCTCGAGGTGGAGTCGTTGGCTGTCTTGTCTCAGGGTGGGTGGGAGGTGTTGGTGACATGGACGCGGGGAGGTCACGTAGCCGGGACCTGGCCCATCGTGGGTGATGGGGATTCTGTCCGTCTGTCCACATGTTTCCTCTGAGCACGTGCTGTGGGCCGGAACAGGAAAGGGAATGATCTGCAGCCTCCGAGCTCTCAGTCCAGCAGGGACACTGGCGTTGACCACATGCTGTCATGGACGGGGCCCAGAGCCATGAGGAAAAATGGGGCACATGAGGGGAGCACGGGGGTCCTGGTCTCGTCAGGGCAGGTGTCTGTGGGGAAGGGACGTCCCAGGCAGGAGCTGAGGGACCAGCAGGAGCTGAGAGGGGTGCTCCCCCACACTGGGAACTGTGTGAGCAAAGGCCCTGAGGCGGGAGGGCTCCTGGGTCCCTAGAGCCGCTGTTTCAGACCGAAAATTGGATCATGGAAACAGGTGGGATGTGACCAGCTCTATTTTTTTTTAACAAAAAAGAATAGGAAATATCAGTGCAATTCCAAATAAGAGTAAGTACTGTTTAATGAAATTGTGATTTCAATTAGAGGTACATTTGTATGTTCATATATAAAGAATTAATCAGGGGGCTGGCCCGGTGGTGTAGTGGTTAAGTTCATGTGCTCCACTTCAGTGGCCTGGGGTTCACGGGTTTGGATCCCGGGCGCTCACCGACGCACCGCTTTCAAGCCATGCTGTGGCGGCATCCCATATAAAGTAGAGGAAGATGGGCGCGGATGTTAGCTCAGGGCCAATCTTCCTCACACACACAAAAAAAAAGTTAATCAGGGTAAGGTGCTTGCTCTAGCAGACAACCCCAAAGAGCCCCTGGCTTCCACCACAGAGGTTTACTTCTAGGCCCAGCGCCACCTGATGGTGAGTGGTGGTGTGGGATTCTGCTCCACACGGTCATTCAGGGCCCCGGGCTCCACCCGTCCAATGTCCCGCTGCTCCTCTTCTCGCCACCCCAGGCTTCACCCTTGCCTTTCTGTGTGCTTCTTCCACATACATGTTCCTAAACCATTTATGGCTTAGGTTTGTGTGTTTTTGTAAGTGGCATCACGTCATACATCTTTTTCTGCAGTTTGCTTTTTTTGTTAGTCACCATTATGTTCCTGAGATGTACTTACCTGTGTTGAAGTGTGCACGTGTGCTGAGTCAGGATATAAACGTGCTGCTTTCTGTGGGTCATGGGGAAAAAACCCCTGCTCTGGAGTCCGTACCTAGGAGAGGGATTGCTACGTGCACACCCTTGATCCTGGTAAAATTAGCACTGGGTTCCTTACTGACGTGGTTGTGCCGTAAACGTAGACGCCCAGCAGCCGCAGCTGAGATTCCCGTGTCTCAGAGGGGCTCCTGCACCAGCCAGGCTGTCCCCGAGGACACGGGGTCTGATGCTCTGAAGGACCTGGGGCGTAGCTCTCTGTCCCCACCCCCAGCTCTCAAGGCTTCTGGTCACCAATGGGCACACCTGTCCTTTGTGGCTGGGTGCCGTCCATGTGCCAGCTGCCCCCTTTGTAGAAACCACTGTAGAAACTACAGTCTTGCTTTATTTGACCAGGGTCCCCTTGTTCCCTCTGCCGTTCTGCAGGGGACCTCCCACAATTCCTTGAGCGCTGACTTCCTCTGTTTTGCCAGGCAGAACGGCTAAAGCTCCCAATTCTCTCCGAAGAACAAGTGATCATGGAGGCGGTGGCCGAGCACCCCATCGTCATTGTGTGTGGTGAGACCGGCAGCGGGAAGACCACGCAGGTGCCCCAGTTTCTCTACGAAGCAGGCTACAGCAGGTGGGGGCTGGCACAGGGTCCTCCACAGGTCCCTCGGGTGACAGCAGGGATGTGGTCCCTGAGAGTCATTCTGAGCATGGGCTCTGCCGTTTACATGCTGTGTGACTGGGCACGCTGCTGCACCTCTCTGGGCCTCGGTTTCCTCGGCTGTGGGATGGGGAGAATCATTGCACTGCTTCACAGGGTTGTTATGTAGATGAAGTGACGGAATTCGTGTAAAACGCCTGGCTCAGTCCCTGACGCGTGGGCTGTGTCTCCTCCTGTTGGCACTTCTGTCGCATGTGTGTCAGGAGTCCCCCAGACCACCCCCAGATTCAGTGGTTTGCTAGGAGGACTCAGCACACGGTGGTGCTCACAGCTGCAGTCTATTACCGGGAAAGGACACGAGGCACAAGCAGCGAAGGGGAAGGCGCGTGGCGTGGCGTCTGGGGGAACCAGGCTCAGGCCTCCAGAGCCTCTCCGGGGGGTCACACAGGACACGCCAAATTCCTCCAGCCAGCGGGTTGTGACAGAACCTGCCAAGTGTCATCTACCAGGAGAGACCCAGCGCCCAGGCTGTTTACTGGGGTCACGTGGGCACCTCTGCCGGGCCCGTCCCCAGACCCCAGACTCCCCGAAGAAAGTAGGTGGTCAGCGTGAACCACGTTGTCTGTATAGACGGTCCAGGCGCAGAGAGCCCCTCATCACTCGGGGTGGGGGGATCCTCCTGCAGGCCAGGGTCCCAGACGCCAGCCGGGGGTGAGCCCGTCAGTGGGTCTTTCTGCTTAGCAAGGGCAGCCTCGCACCTGTCATGTGATCTGTCTTCTGCACAGCGCGGAAACCAGCCCCTGTCCCCTTGGTAGGTTCTGTTTGGAGGACCATGTGCGGGGCTGGGTCAGGCCGAGCCACCGGGCTGCAGGCCCGGGTCCACCTAGGCCTGGTTCCTGTGAGCCTGGCTTCCTCTGCACCCTGACTGTTGAGGCACCTGTGTGCTGGCCTGTGGACCACTCCCTTTGCTGTTAGGTGGTACTGCCTCGCCTGGTGTGTGTGTCCCGTCACCCCGATGGGGGCCGCGTCTGTACAGTGACTCCTGACGTGAAACCGCGTGTGGCTTTGGGACACACACTGGGGCCGAGGACTGCTGATGTGTTGTGTTCCCCCTCCCCCAGCGACAACAGCATCATCGGCGTCACAGAGCCCCGCCGTGTGGCTGCGGTGGCCATGTCCCAGCGAGTGGCCAAGGAGATGAATCTGTCGCAGAGGTGAGGCTCTGCCTCCTGGGGAGGGAGAGGGTGGTCCTCCTGCCTCGCCTGGGGGTCGGCTGTCCAGGAGGAGCTGAGCAGCATTGTGGGTCCCCGTCCGTCCCGAGGGTGCTGGGGGGGAGTGTCGCTTCTGCATCTAAGTGCAGGAGTCTCTGAGTACAAGAAGGCTTCCCGCACTCTGGACAGCAGGCCTCTCCTGGGCAGGGGGCCACGGAGCAGGGACGAGCCAGCCAGGCCCTTGGGCTCACATCACACATGTGTGCTGAGGGGACAGATGGCCCTTACAGGGGTTCAAGGGGAGAGCAGAGCAGCAGGTGGCTGAGTGCAGGCAGGCAGTGGTTAGCACTTAAGTTACGTTACAACTCAGGCTTCCAGAATGCAAGTCCTCTCCTGGCAGTAAGGCTATAGGACTCGCCTTGGAAAGCAGTTTGAACAAAGCAAGGATAGCATCTGCTAGAGAAGGGCTTGGGGCCTCAGCCCAGACTATCTAATTCAGGTTTGCAGGGGCAGCACGTCCAATAAGGTCTAGAATCCAGAAGACACAGAAGAGATAGAGCTAGAGGCTCCTGCATCCGTCCTGTCATCATGTGCTCGCCAAGCAGCACCTGCCGGGTGCCAGCCTGTCCTGGGCTCCAGGGACATGGGGCTGAGTGAACAGAGCCACCTGTGCCCCTGGGGCTGGCATGCAAGTGGGGAGGCTTGTTCTGTTTGCTCGTTAGGTGGGCGAGGTGCCTCCAGCTCCCCTCCCCAACGGCAGCCACCACTGCACATTTACTGTGGCTCCTTCTAGACAGTTCTGTGCACAGACAAGCAACTGTCTGTCTGTATTTCTGCCTCTCTGACTTCTACATAAATGTTTCACACCATCCACACCCTTCTGTAGCTTTCCTGTTCCATTTAATAGTATGTGTTTTGAAGATAGTGATACATAAAAAGCTGTCCGTTTTTTCATCGTTCTTTTTAACTTTTTATTGTGAAACTCTCAAGCGTATACAAAAGTAGAAAGAATGTGCCCCCATGTACCCAAGACCCCATTTCAATAATAGTCAACTCGTGACCAGCTTTGTTCCATCTGTGCCCCCGCCCCTCCCCCAGGTGTTGAGGTGCGAGTCTCAGATGTCATGTCGTCTCACCCTCAGTGTTTCACTGTGTGGGTCTGAGAGATCAAGACTCTTTTTTTTTTTTTTTTTAAGATAAGGGATTTTTAAAACATAATTGCAATATGTTTATCATAACTGAAAAGTGTATCATGACTCGAGCATCCTCCTGTCCACATGTAGATTTCCCTGGTTCTCTCCTAACACGCTTTTACAGTTGGTTGCTCGTTGGCCTTGGTCTGCGCTTGCTGGGTTGACATGCTCTTTAGTTGGCCCTGACAGCTCCCTCCCCCTTCACACTGGAGAGGGATAGTGGGGTGGGCAGGGGTCTGGGCCTTGTTTTTTTTTTTTTTTAATTTTATTTATTTATTTTTTCCCCCCAAAACCCCAGTAGATAGTTGTATGTCATAGCTGCACATCCTTCTAGTTGCTGTATGTGGGACGC